ATTAGGGAAATAAAATTAAAACCACTTTAAGATTTCATCTTACCCCAGTCAGACTGACTAAGATCAAGAGAACAAATGATACCAAATGTTGGAGAGGATGCGGGCAAAGGGGAACACTCATCCGGCTGAGGAAATGGCTCAGTGGGTAAGAGTGCTTGCTGTGCAAACATGAAGATGTGAGTCTGGTTCCCCAAGCAGTAGCTAGAAAAGCTGAGGGTGATCTTGAGCACCTGTAACTCCAGTGCTGGGGTAGGGGGTGGAGACAGGAGGCTCAATGAGACTTGCTGCCCAGCCAGCCTAGCCAGAAAACAATGAGCTCCAAGTTCAGTTAGAGACTTTGTATCAAGAATATATGATGGAGAGCAATAGAAGAAGATACTTGATGTTCTCTTCTGGTCTCTGCACAGGTGCACATGGGTTCACATACGTGCACACACATACACCACATGCAGCACATGCACACACACACACACACACAAAAACCGATGTATGTTCTCCCTCATATGTGGATCCTAGAACCAAATCCTTATAAGTGAGTGTGTATTCAGACATAACTACAGGAACCAGGATAATGAAAAGGAACCAGGGTGGTAAAGGAAAAGAAAGAACCTGAAAGAGAAGAACAGTTGGAAACAGGCCTTAATAGGGGAGATATGGATAAAAATTTGAGTTTAGTACAAGGGAGTAGAGGGAAGGTTATACAAGGAACCTAGGGGATAAAGGGAAAGAAGGAGCCCAAGAGAGGTAGGACCATAGGAGAAGGGTATTATTAAGGGAGAAAGGGGGAAATGGGGGCACCTTAATTGGTGAAGCCATGATGGAGGGGTGAGACAATGCAAGAGATAAACAATGCCTAGCTAGTTTTAAAACCAGAGGGAACCATATTACTACTACAACCTACTGACAAATTATACAAAGCAGATCAAGAAATATATGTCTAGGTAAGGTTTATCTGAGAACAATTGGTCTTTGCCCAAGATTTATCTATATAACACACAGTAATTAAAAGTGCCATACTGGTGGAACTAACATTCTTGGATGTTTAACAGACATACTTTGAGGCCTATTTGGTCAGAGGGACATAAAGAACACTTTTTGCTCCTTGCCCTCCTAGGTCGACTCATTCCAAGGGACTATGAGCATCT